CTCACTCTCCAATTGTACGGTAGTTATTTTTGACCGCTTTATGGCTGGTTGCGTTGTAAACAAACTCAGAATATTTTTTTAAAGCTATAATCACTGCGCAATTAATTGCGTAATTTTTTATTATGATGATTAAATGCCATATTTTTTTATTTTAATACTTTAAGAAAAAAAACCCCTGTAAAATATTAATTAATTAACTTTTTTATACACCGGTCAACTAATTGGTGACCGGTCAACAACTGGTGCATTTACCCTAATAATTTTGTTAATAAAAAAAATTCTAAAAAATTTTAGATGTTGGCTAACTTAATTTTCATAATTAAGCATGTATTTAATGACATTAAATATAGTTGTCACTTGACCATTTTAAAATTTTTTTTTAACAAGGAACAAATTTGTTCCAAAAAATTATTTTTTAAAAATTGCATATTTAAAAATTTTTTTAATTTCTACTAGTCAATTTTTTTTGCTATAATTTATTTGTTACTAAAATTCTGAAAATTATTGAGTATCTATCTACTAAATTAATTTTCATATGTATTTAATAATGAAAAAAATTGTATAATAAATAAATTATGGCAAAAAAATGAGAAGAAAAAATTGACATGTAGAAAATTTCAAAAAATAAAAAATGTAATTTTTTGAAACAAATTTTTTTGTTCTATGAAATTAAAAAATTGTTAAGTGACTGCTATTTAATTTCAATAAATATTTTTAGAATTTTACTAGTGAAATTGCGGAAGAATATTAATTACGGTAATTGGAAATTTTTTTTAATAAGTTACAAAGACTATTTTCGATTATTAATCAAGAAAATTTTGGCTTACTGGAGTATAAAAATTAATTGAGCAGACATTTGATATTTTTAAGAATTTTTTCAATAAACAAATTATAGCAAAAAAAATGAGAAAAAAAATTGGCATGTAGAAATTTAAAAAAACTAAAAATTAAATTTCCTAAAAATAACTTTTTGGAATAAATTTGGGTAAATATTTACAAGTGGGCCAACCATTAAAATTTTTATTTTTTTGAACGAAATTTTTATTTGATTTTATTGATATATTTTTTTTTTTGAAAAATACATAAAAAAATAAACAATTAAAAAAAAAAAGTTGATCCCACAATTTTAACAAATTTTCAAAAAAATTTATAAATATTCAACTTGTTTTTTTTTTTAATTGTTCATTTTTTATGAAAATGAAGTTAACCGACATTTCAAAATTTTTATAAATTTTTTATTAAAAAAAATTTCAATTAAACTTAATAAAAAAAGTCAAAAATTTTTACACGTCTGTTAACTTCAGTGTCATCATTTTTTTATGTACTTTAAAAAAAAAAATATATCAAAAAAAGATAAAATAGAAATTTTATCCAAAAACATGAGCCAAAATTTTTTCCAACTTTTGAAGGCAAAAAGCTATCGAAATCTTTATTATTTTCTTTCACGAGATTTTTTATCATAAATGCGCCGTAAAAACCAGCAGAATCAAAAAAAAAAATTTGAATTAATTTTTCACTTAGTTATGGTCCAAAATGGAGTTCGCCCCACTTGTAAATAATTACCAAAAATTTTTAGAATTTTTTTTAATTGAAAAAATTATTACAAATAATTTTATTAGTAAAATATTTAAAAAACTATAAGTGCAATTTTTAAAAAATATTTTGTAGTTGTATTATTGGAGTCACTTGTTCAAAATTTTAAATTATTTCTTCTTAAGCTAAAAATATTATCTTTGAAAAAAGGGCGATAAAAATTAAAAAGCATGTTTATATTTTAATATTTTTTTATTCACAAAAAAACAATTGTTACAAAAGAGTCAACGGTTGTAAGCTAAAAAATTCTTACATCTTAAAAATATACATAAACAAAACTGTAAACTCCAAGTGTTTTACTTCAGTCGTTAATATGTGCGTTTTTATTTTAACCAGCACAGTAACGTTACAATAATTATTCATATGGTGGACGATAAAACCTAAATAAATAGTTTTGTTGAAGGTACCTCTTATTTTAAATATATTTATTGCTTCTAAAGTAGTATATTATTCTATTAGTAGAAATTTTTCTTTCTACATACCCGCATTGACATTATTTATATGACAATAACATATTACATTTGTTTTTAATATTAATTATCACTAATTTATTTTAAATTCGTTTCGATCCGTGTTGACTCGAATTGGCACTAACTGTGTAGAATTTTTAAAGATTTTTATTCTACCATACTAATCACAAAATTATAAAGTACCAGATTTTACAAAAATAAATAAACAAACAGTAAACCATTTCTAATAAGGCACCAAGCGTAAAATATGCCGGACCTTACTTTTAGAACTGAAAAAATCTCTCATGCAAATTCTGTTTTATGACAACTGATTTTTTGACGTTAAATTCTTGTGTAAAGTCCGGAATTAAAATATTAAAATATTTTAATATGATAAAATTAAATTTTATCGCATTTTATGTTTTACT